TAACAAAGATACATGTAAAATGTTATTGTGAACAAGTTTAATTAGTGCATAAAGTGCAGTTGCATTAGTAAAGTTTTCCGTTACGTGCGCGCGAACTTGATGTATAATTTGCAAAATTTTGTGTTACTCACTCATTTATTGGGCACTGTACATCATAGGTTGTTGTATTTGAATATGAGAAGGGGGAGGTAATTTCTCCATCCCAAATAGCATTACAGGTGAGTAGAATGGTTATCCTATCCTTCATCTTTTTAACATGAGAAACTGAATGAGAAGAGAGCATCTTAGTTTCCAATAGAGGGCCGTTTCATCAGTATTAAATACATCTTTAAGCTCAAACTGGGAGATTATCAGTATGATTACATCATAAGGAATGAAGTCATATATCAATCACATTGATCCATTGTTTACAATTGATATAAATTTCCTCTCCTCATCTCCCTCTCAATGATCCTTTCACAAACCACTATGACTTACCAGCGACTTACTTATCTCTATGATGTATGACTCTCATTCCCTCTAAATATGTTTACCATGTCATTGCTCAAAAAACTAAAGCATCCTTCATCAGAAATACAAAATCTGTTAACTAATCACAACAAAAACAAAGAACTGAAAGCCTCTTTTGTAAAAATAGAGTGTGAAAATGGGTCTACGTCTCTTCATTATAATAATAATAACAACACTATGGTTATATACCACGATAACAGCAAACCCGCTGAATCTCTGGTTTCTTCCTCTTCCTCTACCCCCTCCTCTGCAGCATCTCCTTCTCCTACCAATGATGATATGGGCTCACAATTGGAACAAATCCTTGATACGCTCAAAAATAACAATGACTGTTTGTTATTAGCTGCAACTCTGCCCTGTATGTAGGTAGACTTTCAAGCAGAGCACTATTGCCTCATCACAATGTGTATGTTCAATATCAATATGCCCAATATGGATAGCTTAGATTAAAGATGACCAGGTTTGCTTCTACAACATCACACCAAATAGAAAGAGCCTCTTCAAGCTGATGAAATTAGGTGGGTGATTGCGTTTTCTTAAAGCCAAATGGTGGTTTGGATTTGTTTTGCATTTCAGGATATCATGCACAGTTGATTCACTGATTTTAAATTGAGTTGCTAAAGTTTTGTCATGATTAAAATGAGACTTCTGTGATATCAAGATGCAAAACTGTCTGGACTGGTGTGCTTAGAGGAACCAATCCAGAATTTACAGTAACAAAATAATATAACAATATCTGGAAGATATATAAATGCCACTTCCCTCCCTCCTGCCTTTTCTTCAGCTAGAGTCAAGATAGGATGATGACTAGCAATCCCAAAGCAAATTAAACTCTTACTTGCTTTCAACCACTAGATTATCATCCCTACATTATCCATGCCACATATCAATGGATTCTTGGACAACTACAACTGCTTTTGACTACCTTACCTCTCAACAATTGAAGATTACAAAACCTTCCAAAACCATTTATCTTTGGAAAATAAGAACAAAAGCTGTGGGTGAAAGGAGAATTCATTGACATTGAACAATCATGAAGAAGAAGATATTGCAGCCTTCCTTCACCTTTGATCCACACATACTAGATCATCCTGTATGACAATTTTCACAGCTATCTCCAAGAATAAAAAGAATGGTCTCCCTGTCTATAGGACTACCTGAAGAAAAGTCCATGACTATCTCTAAAAGGGGGTTGAAAGAATGAAAACTTTACCCTCCCATATGATGGGTCTTACACAAAATATTTTCAATTGGAAATATGAGCGAGATTACCATGACAGAATAAGAAGGTGATATGAATTGTTCAAAGCTGTGGAATGACACTCCTTGGAATATAGAATATGGTGAATCATTCACTGAAACTGTGTCATTACTATTACATGAGAATTTGAACTTCCTTTCATTGATAACCAGTGACACAGAATGGGATATATATGTCAATAATACAGACAAAAAAAGAGAAAAAAATAATAACATTCCACCCACAGCAAGAGTAAGAGAGGATGAGTCAGTAGAAAAAACCCTAGATGACCATATACAGGATTCTTTGAAAAAATATGGTGAAGTGGAAAGAAAAGGAGCATTAGTATTAGTTGAAGAAGAGGATAGAATTGTAGTGGATAGAGCAGAGTTAGAGATATTAATATAGGGTGTTCTCACCAGTACCTCCCCTAACAAATCTGGTAACGTGCCTGTTACTAAACTTGGGTCAGGTCTTAGTATTAGTGACATGTGAATAGTAGTAGTAGTAGCTTTAATGGTATAATATCAATATTAGTGCATTCCAATCTATTACTATCAAGAGATAGCATATTCCTCACTTAACTTGTAATTGAGCAAATGGTCAAAGAGAAAGTTTAAAACCCTGAATGTTAACATTTTCAGTTTGAACCCAGTTTGAACCCAATGATTATACAATAACAAGGGGAAAGTTTTGACCAGTCATTTACCAAACTTAATTAATATTAAATTCTTTATAGATATTTTGATCCTCCAGATTCTGATATAATATTAAGTATTGCAAAATGTTTATAGTGCTTCATAATTCTGATGCAATCAACTTGACTGAGCAAAGAAATGAAGAATGAACTCTTTATGATCAGTATACATGTAATTACTCAGACATGTTGGCATTTGACTATTATTGAGCCAGTGATCACAGAATCTTCCACTGCTGCATTAAAACAAAAACATGAAGCTGATAATGAAAATGAAAAGAATCATGGTATCATGATTTGATTTGTTAGAGCATAAAAGCCTTCAATTAAATGCTATGTTGCTCAAAATCTATAGTAATAGATATTAATATAAAAAAAAATGCAAAGATTGGTCATATAGATTATATTAATATGACTAAAATCAATAGTTGGGAGAAGCTTGTGGAGGCATATAAAGCATTTATTGACAATAATAAATAGTAAACAGAGCAGATTTGGGAGGCACAAATCTATGTATGAAGAAGAAATGAGAGGGATGATCTTGTTTTAATCCAGTATATAATTCAGAGACTAGAACAAATACAGACTTGAATGAAGAACACAAAATGAAAAGAGGAAAGAGAAAAAGAAGTCTTCTTCAGAGACAGTAACCATACCTAAAGAGCTTTATGGTGACATATGATGAGGTTTCAGGATAAGTTATTGTCTGTGTTGAGTGGTCTCATTACATCTCTTAATAGTAAAGATAATGATGGCAATGCCAGTAATTGAGAGAATAATTATTAGCCAATAAACATTATTGTTATTGCTCAAACAATTGATGGAGTAGTCTATTTCTTTTTTTTTCTGTATTAAAAGCTTTTTTATTGTGTCATTTTCTATATTAATATAGATATCTTTAATCTGTAGAAGCACAAAACAATTGTTCCCACAAATCATCACAATTTATACAAAGATTATGCACACATCTATTACATCCACCATATATATTAATATGGTCTCAAGATCAGCGAAATCCACTTCTCCACCTTTCCAAATGCTCTTTTGACTACAGCACAAGACGAAAGTCTGTAATGAACATTGTAAAGGTTCCGACATCAACGTATTTGGAAAATACTGACAAGAATTCACGAAAAAATAAAGCCAGCGATGACACTTTACTTTATGTCTTTTTATTTTTGCTGTCAATAATTAAACGATGGAAAAAAATTTACCATACTAATACTCAATGAAGATAATGTTGTGCAATAGTTTGCAGAATTATAATTTTCGAATAGTCCAAGCATGAGTCGATGAGATCGAATTAGAGATTTACCTACAATATGCTGTCCTTTTTTTTTTATTGACAAAGAAAGCACACACTAACGGTGATGTATGGTTTGTAAGGGGTCAAAGAGGACAAGACAGTACGTTATCACTATTTCATGACCCCTTTTCAGTTTGAACATGACTTTCTCGATAAAATAAAGAAAAGGAAAATGAGCGATCTTTGCTTTCTTGAAAGTTATGGTATGGGAAATACCCTATAAGTAAAAGCGCCGATTGTGAATAAGATTACCTAGATTAACAACATGACGTGCCCCACTCACAGTTCATTACGTAATAGTAAGTATACAAATAAATACCGGGAGTACGCTTCTGGTTATTGCAAATCACTGTTGTAAGCTACCCCTCAACGCTGTTTATACTTACGTAATGATTTGTCGATTATTTTAATAATGTCGATAAGAGTTGGAGACCATTCCTAACGAACCGAAGATGGGTTTCCCAGACCGTGCTTATTCACGTAGTATAGGGTACTTATTATTATATCAAACGTTGTACTACGAGGGTTAGGTTACTTTCTTTAAATCGATCGTGTTACTTATTATTATTGTCGAAAAATAGCCACCATGTCTAATGCAACGGAGGTTTCTACTTCTTATTCTCCTGGTCCGTCAACTGGTACCGTCAGCTTTGGTGGAACACCGGTAACTTTCACCCCAAGCTAGTACTAGGTGGAATGGCAACTCGATATTTGATAAGCTAGTGGCTGATATCAGTTGTTTTATTATTGCCAAGTTTACCATACATCCTCAAGACTGGCGCGTGGAGTCAGAAGATTTTATCTTTCAAACAGGGTTTTTGGGAATAGGAAAACCAAACAGTTCGCGTTGTCCAAGGGTTGTGTATCTACAATTGTAAAGAAATTGGGTGCACTATTTGATATTGTGGAGAACACTTCTAGTGATATAAGATTTTCTGGAGCAATGAGTTGCTTTGTTTTATGCTGTTCTGTTCTAATTGTCATTATAAAACGCGTGGAGGAGGAAAAGAGCCAGATGGATCTCTTTGACCTTATACTTATGGAAAACCTCAGGTGCCTCATGATGGATATGATGGAATGGTATGAAATGCTTTAAATTGTTTATTTGCTATTGCTGTTGTGGTTGCATTGAATTTTTAATATTGATGACAATATATTAATATATTAGAATAAACCCTGACCCAATCTTATAATAGGGATGGCTTATTATTATGCCAAGAAGAATCAGATCTCAAAAGCAAAGTGGAAGATTATTGGCTTGCTCCCAATAAAGCTAAATTACACAGCAGATGATAATCCTCCAACATAGATGATGGTAAGTAATGAGATGGTGGTTTAATTTCTGCACAGTTCTCTTAACACCATTTGATATTGAATGATGCTTTCTTTTGATAGGCATGGCATTATTGTTATTGCATAATTATAATAACTGAACAGCAAGTGGTGTCACAACCAGCAATGGGGAGAAAATAGCACCAGATATCACAGTTTGTGGAAGCAATACTTATCTTCAACCACCATCAAGACTGCATTGTGTCCCCAGTGATGCAAAAGTACATTAAGTTGATACTTTATTGTCATATTTACTTGCACCCATAATTTATAATTATAATGGTATGATATTTTGTAATGTACTTTTTTAGCACAGAATTGAATATATTAATATTTTTCTAATATTACCAACACATCAATCTTGAATTGACATTTTAATGAGGTATACTTTCTCATAAGAATAAAGCCATATTGTAATTGAGATGTTTCTATAATTGATGGCCAATAAATACCAACAAGTTACTACAGTACAAAAGTACCAACTAATTATAACTAACTACTCCAAAGATTTATATACTGTAAACTGCCATGAATAAGAGCCTACCATGAATAAGGGCCCCCTCATGAAAAAATGCTGCCGTGAATAAGGGCCGTAATAACCACCCCCTTATCACGTCAACAATCGACGTTATATATTACTTTATTTAGTATCGCTGATTTATCACAAACATCCTCTGGTAAAACTATCCTCCCTCACAACACCTTCTTTCCATATTAAGTCGTCTTCTGTACCATTGAGATCATTAGATAGCCCACAGGTTTTAAAGGAGTTTACTACAATCTCATGTGAAATATCATC